GGGTTGGACCCCCTTTTGCCTTCAGAACTGCCTCAATTCTTCGTGGCATATGAAAGTGTTTGAATGTGTAGGTATGGGTATGTTTATGTGCATATGTTTAAGTTTGTATATGTACATGGGTATGGTTTTAAGCAAGGCTATAGTCATTATAAATATATAGATATGCATCTTTGTTGCTGTGGTTTTGCTCTTTGTTTTTTGTAGGTGTGGAGACAAGAAGTCGGTGTGCTGTCTTGTGTTTTCTCAACATATTTTTCACATATCTTCTAATCTCTCTTTCACTCTTTCTCATTACATTTCACTTTTTTCTTTCTCTTTCTTTTTCTCCTATTAAAAAAAAGAAAAAAAGGCCGCTGATGATGAAGAAGCTAAGATACTAATATTCAGATATTCAGTTCTGCTTTCTACTGAAGTGGCAAAAAAAAAAAGTTTCACTTGTATTCAATCTGTGACAAAAATTTGATTATAAACAAAAAACTCTTTGCAGATCTTAAAGTGACTGTGACAAATACAAAAAGTCCAAGAAAATACATCTTTATATTTAAACTAGCATAATACACATGATTTTACCCATTCTGTCACAAAAACGGTTTTCTTTTGAATATGGCTCAGCTAAAGTGAAACAGGAAGTGACATCAAAGGGGAACTCTCTGGTCTTCGTTTAGTGAAACAATATTATTTGAACACTTCTTCGTCTCTTTCTGACAGTGACTCGAAATAATGTAAAGAAACACCAGATTCTACTCTACAGTCTGTGTTGTTAGCTGTCGTAGCAACAGTCTGGTCACATTCAGACATTCCCCTTTGACATCACTTCCTGTTACTTCACATGCAAACATATCAACGACTGTTCATCTCAGTGGCGGGAAAGCTTTTTTTGCAATATGTTATCAATTCTATCTTCCAAGAAATGCATTTATATTTATTGCAAAATATTATGTTACTGGTACTTTAAAGTTCGAACTCAAAAAAAATTTGATCATCAACCAGTTTTTAATAGTCATTCATCCGCTAATTTAAAGAACAGAGTTCTCAGATACTGGAGTAATGCTTTGATACAGATTAAAGTGTAAATGTGAGCTCTTGAGAGTCTAGTTTGTGAACTTCTAAACACAAGGCCATAAATTATCATTAAATCGTTACAAAATGTATCTTGTTATCAAACATACTTTCCTCTTCAAAATAATGTAACACTGAAAAAACATTTTTCTTGAATGCTACCTGATCACTTCCATTTGCAAGCGTAGCAGGRAGACATGGAGGACGTCCCCTACGTCTTTCATAAACAAGGCCAAATGAGACAATGAGGACTATTAAAAGATAGGAAATGTTGTGCAGATGAAACAGGTCTGGAATGGGCTGGTGAAAACACTGACATGGTGTTTATAAAATGCACAATACTTGCAGTGGACTGACCTTTTCTGAGTGATGGACGCCTTCCTGCTGCAGACAACAGAGACAGTGTTGGGAGTCGCTCCTCTGCCGGGCTGCACCACCACATCCCACAGCGATGGGTCACTGGGCCGAGCTGCGCTGAAGGACAGGCCCGTTTTCACAGCAGCCCTGCAGGAAAAACAAAATGAAATGTAAGCTTCCATTTAGATACTTTTTATGCACTTTTAATAAAAAAAAAACCAAATGTTAGAGTGAAAAATAACAGATGAGAAGAAGGGCGACCTCTTAGACTGTTTTGCTGGGTAATCTATGCATTATTATGTGTGATTGCTTTAGGTTAGTTTTTTTTTTCCCCCTCTGATTACATGTGTTTTCTGCATTATTTATGCTTTTCATGTTGTGTCTAACAAGAGAGAGGGTCAAACACAGACAMATGTGTCGCAGGCTGCTCACCCACTGAGAATCAGCAGGGGTGTTTAATTCCCATTAGCCCTCGGGGACAACTGGAAATCAGTTAATCAGATCTCTGATTCAAACACACACACACGCAGCTTTGAACAGTTCTGATGGGAGCGATGGAATGCTAATTATAAATAATGTGATTGGAACAGACAGACCTGCAAATCCAACACTCAGCCAGAGCTTTGACTGCCACACCAAGAGTACAGTTATAWATCAGTGGAGTGATCACAGTGCAGTTATTTGAGCCATATGTCTGAATAAAGTCAAACAAGCACAACAAACGGCTTCTCACCCGTAGCTAAAGTGAATTCATTGATTTATATTTACACACACAGAAACACATAACTACAGAATGGAAGTATTCTCTGTTTTACATACAGTACAGAGCAGATTCTTCATGGAAAATAAACTTCAGAGACGTTACTTTGCAGGAACAAAAATTCTTACGGCATCTTAATCTTATTGAAGCTTGAAGCTTTGAACAGAAATGCAGAGTGATCTGTTTTTTGGAGCCTGTGAGGAAGATGACTTTCTGCCACTAACCTATCGAATCCCTGCTCAGTGTCTGAAAAAATGACTGACTTTTTTGTGTTGGCTAAGGTTGATTAAGCTTGTATTAAGCCGACTCCAAATTAGTTTAAAAAGGACATTAGGGTTGTGCAGAATTGTATCATGTGCAATCAATCACCTATTAATTACCACTTTGCAATTGCTGCAATTCATGCCACATGATGACATGTTTTTGTAACTGATGCACCCTCATCATGCATGCATGTGAGCTTYTGGCATATTGCATTACTAAAGCTCTGCTGCCACTCCACATTSTAGAAAAGGTGGATTTCAATTCACAGCTCGCTAATTTAACCTGTTAAACTGAGGAAGTTAGTTTGACTGAAGATTTGTCAGTATAATTTTAAAACACAGGGTGTCTGGTTCAGAGTCAAAATCGTGCAAGTGTAATTGTCACCTGTTAATCGCCATTTTAATTGTTATTGGCTAAATGCCACAATTAATTGAGATTTAATTTTACGAAACTATCGCCCAACCCTAAATGACATCCACTGATTATTTTCTGAACTTTCATTAAATTACATTCATGACTGTAGAAGAAAACAATGTAAACTCTTTTTTTCTCAACAATCTTCAGTTGATCAGTCGACAAGTCCTGATGCATCTCAGTAATCCAGGTAAGAAAATCAAAAAGAAAAAAAATTGTATAGGTCTTCTGGACGGGTTCTTCTCTAATGAAACGTTTCGTCTCTCCTCCAAGAGACTTCTTCAGTCTGAGAGNGAAGAAGTCTCTTGGAGGAGAGACGAAACGTTTCATTAGAGAAGAACCCGTCCAGAAGACCTATACAATTTTTTTCTTTTTGATCAGTCGACAAGATTTTTTTAAAAATCTAGACAAATTACAACCAGAATTTTGTTGTATCACAGATGTTTTTTCATTTAAAAAACATTGGAAATAATTATGAGTTTCTCTTTGACAACAGGAAGAACTTCTTGTTTCACTTTTCCAAAATGCCAGTAACTCCTCAGTCTTGGCCTTACAGTTTCCTCATATCTACCAAAACACATTCTAACATCACCGAAAGACTTATAAGGTGGAAGCAGTTTCTCTGTTTTTAACAACTTGCTTTGTCCCGTTCAGTCAGTAGATTAGCCACCAGAAAGCTGAAGATCAATAAGACTGACAGATGGAAATTTACACAAATCTTTTCATGACAGAAAAAGAGCCAGAAGCAGGTTGTTAGTAATTCCATTCAACACACATTTCCAGTTATGCGCGCTCAGAAATATAGAAGCCCAACTAGAATAACCAATAAGGGAATCAATGAGGCTGAGGTGAAACTTTCACACACATTTATATTGCTTTGATACCATCTGACAATCTGACAATTCCACTAATGCCAGATGAAAATTCATTCCTGAACGCCAGAGGCAAAATTTCCACCTTGTAACCTGAAAAAATAATTTAATGAAAGTTTGAAACAATAAATATGAAAACAGTTTCAAGAAAACCGAGCAGAATACAAATCATGTTTTATATCCGTTCAGGAGAATCTTTATAAAATAAAAATTTCTCCAAAGTTTTACTGTTCATTTTTTTCCCCCAATACTCAATATAGTATTCTGCTTGTCCAGATAAGTGTCACAGTGACAGGAGCACCTGATGACCCCCCTCCCAGGGGGTCAAAGCACTCCAGCAGCCTCATATTGAGTGTGGTGACGCAGTGACTCAATCTTCCTGGTTCAACGAGCTTTCGGTCCACAAAGCAGACACGAGCCTTCCTGCAGTGAAACCTCATTCCAGCCTTTTCTTTCCTCGCTCCCTGTCACTGTCAGACCTTTTGACGGCAGGCGGGGAGCCGAATACATACTGACCTTTCAGCTGAACAACTCTTCATGCTGTTTTACCAAACCCATTCGATTTCAAAGTTCCCAGGTTTTCATACAGGAAACTCTGAGTTGTGCTCAGTAAATTTTATGGCTGCAAGTAGATTGTCTGTTTGACAATTAGGTAGGGTGGTCTTAAGACGGCACACACAGATGAACGAAACTAATCCTGGCAGTCGGCCCAGATCATCTCTACCGGATAGGTTTAACTTCTTGATTCATTTTCAATCAGGACCACAGATTATCTGGCCTAGTCCTGCTGGAGTGGGCTCAATCTTGGGCCAAAAAGTGAAGTAAAGCAGGGATTTTTTTCGCAGGAGGAATCAGTCACTTTGCCAAGCTCCTCAGAGCTGGCCTTCACTTGGATTTAACCGCAAGGACTCGGTCACCTCATCTTGTCCAATTCCGTTCTGGATGCAGCAGCAGGCCAGAAATACGGAGCTGAAAATGACTGACCTAACTGGAAGATTTCCAGCTGTACGACTGGGAAATGAGAGTTTGGGGAGTTTCAGGTGAAGCGATCACAAATCCTTACAAACAGTCAAAGCAACAGCAGATGTTGAAGGGTCATCTCCTAACAACCGAATTGTGTTTCACTCAACAATGTAATCAGAGCTAAAATCAGGTCACTTGATGTCTTCATTCGTGTTTGTGTGACAAACTGTTTATGGACAATATCAGTATAATATTTAAGAGAGCATTTGCAATCCTTTAACCCAGAGGTTGTACTATGTGCCCTTTGGAACAATACACACACACACACACACACACACACACACACACATCCCAACGTTTTTATCTAATGGCCTGCATCCCGCAGGAGATTACAGGATGCTCTCTACGCATGCAACATGATATCATTAAATCACTGGATTATGGGGAAAACTGTGCTTTGAAAACAAATCAATTAGGCAGAGTAAAGACTATAGGAACCAACTACAAGATGGGCGGGGCATTACTATTCTGTAAAATGTGTTTATGCATTGAAATAAAAACTGCAAAAGACTGTAGCTTGTATACAACTTTTTCCTTGTATAAAGTTTTTTCCTTATAAAAATAAGGGAAAAAAAACTAAGGTTAGGACAAAACCTAAAAGAAATTATTTTAAATAATGTAAGAGAATCAGAAAATGTTTTGTACTAAAACTACCTGTTTAGGCTCGAGAACACTTTTTCATCAGACCACACAAATGTATGCTTTGATTAATTACAGTTTTACTGAGAAACAACAGCATAACTTTCGCTTTACCATTGGGGGTTATGCCTATTTATTTATTTAGTGAATCATTTGCTTTTTTGGGGTTAAAATATTTTGTAATGCTTTTACTGTAATTTACTTAACTTTTCTGTTTTCTTTATATATACTCTGCACCTCTTCTGTCCCACGTCATTTCAACAACTAAGAAAAGGTGTAGCTTTGTTTTCCCCGTTTTTTCAACAGTAACAAATATTTAACTTTTTAGGACATATTACACAATATACCTAAATTTCTTAATTTTCCAAGAGCATGTATTTACCTGGTGCACAACAATTTGGTTGGAGAAATTTTACAACACATGATTCAGTTAATATGGTCATTATTAATGTGACCAGAGCAAACTAAAACCCTGCATGTCATTTTCAGCAGTTGTGCTTAAACGTACATTTAGGACATCATAAATTTTGAAATCAGGTCAAAGCTACTTAACGACAACAAGAGAGTTGCAGCTGTGTGCTTAAACCTTTGTTTCTATTGTGTTAGAGCTAATGATGTCATTTTATTGTTGGGGATATATTGACTGGATCAAATTATTGTGGCAGTCATATCCCCCCTAACCCTCCTGCAAATTATGTCCGTGCTTTGGAAACATTTAAAGTTCAAAAGGTCAGTTCACTTTAAAAAAAACACGAAAACTCATTGGGCCTCATGCAAGAAC